GTCTGTTGCTACACGTCGCGTTACTTATCACCTACTGCAACTATTCGACAAGCACTTATGTCAACATGACAAAATAATGAGAACAGCCCCGTTAAAAGCATGGCCCTAGAATCAAAACGGACTTTACAAGACTTGTCTTTCAATCAACGCGGTCTTAGGCGTGCTTGAGTCCAGAGAGGAGCGTGATCAGGACGAGACTGCAGTGTGGAGACGGCTTAGTACGCCTGGCCATCATAGGCTCAGGCTTATTAACGAGAGCTCTCTTAGTATCATTTAGGACAAATATACTTAAGATAACGAATTTAAACTTCCAAGAAAAAACCGTTGTATATAGGGTATGGTATGTCGGGGGCGTATCGAATTAAAATCTGCACACGCCATCAAAGGCACTATGTAGCCGATAAGCTTGCCGCATTTCGTCAAATGTAACCGTGATTGAGATCATTGGTAACTCATTCTCTGTAAATATATGTTGCTTGCACAAAAAACGACCGACACTCTCAGTTAGGCATATACGTAGACTTAGTGATCGATAAGATTATTGTGGCGCTGTTGGCCACTAAAACGGAGCACCCGAGAACCTTTTAATGTCCACATGGATGGTGTTCAAGAAAGAAGTTGGGCCTATGTGATTCGTTGTTTGGTTCATCAAAGCATAAGGTTGTTCTGATTCAGGTTCCAGAACAGACGAAGGCACAGCTGTTGTACACACATTTGCATGAGTCCAACCTTGCACACATGTGCAGGATAATTGTCCATTTTTGTTCATATTTTTTCGCCATAATGCAATTGTTCTAGCTTACGCTCAATTACATGATTCATATCACCCTCCTTAAACATTTACAAGTCCTTGGTAGGCAATTCACTTTTTGAGGTCTAACGCCTTCGATAGTGGGAAATTCGATATTATGCGGATTTCAGAACTTTGCCCCGCATTTGAAAAATATTTCAGTTAGAGTTCACGTTACTGACGATACTTAAAACAATCAAGGCATCGGAAGCATGCGCTACACTCAATAGAGTGTAAAGTCCAGTTTATAAATGTCAGAATGTAACTATTTATTAAGAAACACAAAGATCTGCAATACAGACAAATTTCTTTGAGAAATTAAAAAAAAAAAACTATGAATATACATCTAAAATATCAAAAGCCTAACATCAAGTGAATGAGGTCGGTAAGGAAAGCGCTGTAAGACAGAGTTCAGTTCGAAATGCCCATTCGGTTTTCAATTGTAAACAGAATAGGGCGATCGCAGACGATGGTGATTTCTGCATCTTTTACTATGTTCGAAGTAGAGACAAGTCCCTCAAAATCAAGAATTTGATTATCTTTACGAAATAAGTCGAAAATCGCTTACCAAGGTTCCACACAAGACCCGTTGTAGAAACAGTGGACGAATGACCTATTGGAATTAACCCGCAGTGGGTTCCGATATGTTCACTTTCAAGCGTAACGGTATGTGAACCCTTTCTATAATATGGTAAATAAACGGGGTACCTTTAGTAACCAGGAGATTGAGCATTCTGTGACTAGCAATACGGGTAAATCAGTAAGGTCGCGAGCGATGTATAATGTCTTCAGTATCCCTAGTTCATGATCCGCTCTTCCACCGCTCCCATAAAGCGCAACAATAAACTTGATTTTCTAATAGTAAGGATTACTATTTTATATGTCCGTTCAGACATACGCGTATATCTTCCGAGGCGTCCCTTGAATCTATTTTATTACAAACAACCCCGAGACATTTCGTAAAATCTGTAGCATCCTGATCTGGTGTAGGGACAACTTCTACTGTGGGCTGCAG